GGGGGGGGGGGGGGCGGGTTCGGGTTCAAACCTAAACAATCTGAACCAATATGTGAGGGATATACTGTAGCACTAGGGAATTATGTTCTTGCAACAGCGACCGTTATATAAGGACTCTACACTACGTAGGAGCTGCTAGGCGATATTTGAGAAAGTACACATCACAGGGAATGTCGCCTTTGGACATAATAACGTCATTTAGTTTTTAGTTTTGTGTTTTTTTACGACTGATCGACGATGCAAGTCAAACAACACGACGATACATCAATAGCGTACGAAGTGGTCGTGATGTGCATCACAACTTGTAAAGATCCATTGATTTTAAATAATCATATATAAATTGCAAAAAAACACCTTATCATACATTTTTCGTAAAACAGCGGGTTCAATAATAAATTATTTTGCTGTTAATGCTTAATAATCACATTCGAGGAAATAAGGTTTGTCGTTCTTGCATTGTAACTATATGTGTTGTTGGAATGGCTTATGCGCAATCCTGAGAGGACAACTACCTCTGCCGTCTGGTCTACCTATTGCACATCAACTTACATAAGGTGAAAGGCCAAACCCAGTCACACTATTCCTATTCTAGTTTAAGCAGTCCTGACCGACATTAATTCAATTACTGCTGAACATCAAGAACGCAAATAAAAAGGAATTTGGTTTCACTTAGTGAAGGGCAGTGCGCCATAAGATCTGGGAGGATTTTAAAATTCTATAAATGTAAGACAATGTACAGAATATGAACGTCAGATAATATATATATGATGACATTCAATGGCTTTTTCTTTACCTGAAATTTAGCATCCGACAGACGATTCTTGATTCAATGTCACCCCAGTTCGTACCACACACCGAAGCCCTTTGTCCACCATAAACAACCTCAACAGCACCGGAGGATCCAGACTCGCCATCGACAAGGTACACCGATTGTTCATCATTTAAACCTACTACAACAAAATCATTGATAATTTTTGACATACCGTTACAATCAATATTTCAGTTATTGAATGTATGTGTTGTCTACACTTCCAATTAGGTTTCCTTGCTATCCCCATATTCATACAGTAGTCCGTTCAAATAAACATGTCCAGTTTGATACTCGATTTGTACGGGAAAGCACTGTTGAAAATAGCGCCGATAACGTCACGTGGCGGTCTTGAAACGAGGCAGTAACACAGGTGATCAAAACGAGATGCCTAGTTTGCAAAGGGGCCCAACGAGACGGGGAAGAAGTTGGGCCTTTTTTTTACCGCACTATGACACCAAAGATTCTAAGTCCCTGTTGAAACGTAAATTGCACCAATGACAGTATTTAAATGAATAAATATTTGTTGGCGTCTCGGCATTATTCATAGACACCAGGTAATATCCATTACCGGTATGAGACCGGTGCAAATGGGCACGGGACTATACTACAATCTCCAACAACGGGACAAACCTTTCTTTAAAAAGGAGTATTAACCGGATGAATACTAATTTTTAAAAGGTTTTCATAAAGTGCCTGTATGCATTGACAAGTATAAACATGAGAAATTATTCTTATTACAACACATTGTCTTTACCATTGTATTCAGGACCATGCAGTATATCTTAATGTATACTCTCTTTCCCACTTTAACTGTCTTCATACGCTTTTACACTAAGTAAGTCATATTAGTCATCAGACACAATAAACATTTCTGGCAAAGACAATACAAGTACAGCTATAATATGTGTCCAATATGGATACTTTATTTTAGGGTANGGGGGGGGGGGGGGGGGGGGGGGGGGCTTTGTGCGTTTCTTTTTTTGTTCAGTATACATATACTGATTTCAATAACTTACACATATATTATGTAAGCATACTTGTAAATGAACCCATTTTATGTTGAGATGACTTTTATGTATTGCAATTATTTATTGCAATTATTTATTCTCTTGATGTAATATGTTATATTGACTTTTTTAACACAACTGCAGGCATGGGACAGATATATATTTATAAATAATTATTTCATTCTATTAAGGACATGCACATTTTGTTTTAGTAACAGATTCAGTCCCTAATCTTTGATATTTGTATGAATAAAAATGTATTCCTGTTTATTCCTCGGCTGCACGCGTACTTTTTACAATAGCACCGTATTCTGGTGCTATTATTCAATCATACATTCGAAGTCAACATCATGTCAAAACATGAATTGTTACCATAATTAAGATTGTATATTATAAATATTAATATACGGGATTATTATCAAATATAATGTGTGTTATACGCCGTTGCCGTACTGTACAACATCACATCGGTCCCTGCAGGTAGGGCGTAAGAATTGCACCTGCTGCCCCCATTGCATGATCGTAACATCACAGTAATCTCTAGGAGGGCCCCATCGCGAATTCAAACTAAACAATCAAGTATTCCTGCCTTTCGCATACACTACTGTATAAAGTTATGCAAAGTAAATTACATCCGATACATGCCTGTGTTCATAGCAAAATACGTTCATTTGTTTTCCAACTTAGACGAACGTACTTGCGAAGGAAATTCTTTTAAATACTTATTCATAGCATCATATCTATTTAGTCGTTCTTGTTGAAACATGTCAAAATGCAAAACCGTTTTTTGATCACAGAACTAACCTTTTGGATCGTTGTAACAAAGGGCAGAAGCAATACCAATTGAAGAGTGTGCTGTATCTTCAAATCCAACGAATGGACAGTCTCTAAGACTTGTTTCTTCACCTGTACACTGTCTCCTCATCCAATGGGTAACTTTGGTGGATGATATAAAGGAACCGCTGTAGAAACTTCCATGACTGAAATATATAAATGACATTGAAGATAAAATGTCAATGTAATTCTTAATTTACTTTCCAGGTACTAGAATTAGGTATTGGGCAATCAACTAAGAACAGCAAACAAACGCTAACACGACTTGCGGTGAAATCATCTGTAGCAGGGGAGGGAAAATGCACGTCCAGACTGGGATTGGAGCCCGAGAGCTGCAGACGATCGATCAAGTGAAATTCCGCTACTCGCCTACTTATTTTAATCTCATCATCCATCAGGAAAAAGTAGTCACCTGTACCCAAGCATCCTGCATACAACTTGGGCCTGGGCCTTGTTGTTGTAAATACTTCCATAGTGTACACTTCCCCAATAGTTACTGTAATGTACTTCAATATGTCCATATCCATCGGATCTGCCATTTACTAATCGAACGTCCAACTCCGAATCGTCTACTGGAAATGAAAAAAAATGTGCTTTACTTAGAAATGTGTGATAGCGTCTCTGTACGTTATTGAAGAAAGTGGAGCAAGAAAATGAAGGATGAAAGGAAGGACCGATTTCTTTCTTCTCAATATCAATGTAGTTGATCATAAAAGTTGATCATGAGTTTGCATGATCGTGAAAGGTGATTAATGCGGGTAAACCCCTGAGAAATTTGGGATTGGCACTTGTGCTCTCTTCTCGGGGACACAAACCAGACCATAATAAATCTACTGCAACAGTGCTTTGTCTGTGTCTGGGTGCTGGAGGCAGGGCATGTTGGTGCAATTCCTCTATGCGATTTTTCTATATTTTTCTTTATCAAACTACCTTTTGTTGTGCTTTGCTTGGCAATACCTTAAATTGTGCTTTAGTTTTGAACGTTCGCCCAGGTATGGGTTTGTGTTGGAAACGTTAATGGTGTATTTTAACATTGTGATAGAGTTGATCTGGTGCCATATATTAAGTGCTACTGAAGTGACTAAAATAAAATGCCGAAAGTACTCAACATAGTATGCCAATTGGTCAGAAGACAAATAACCACGACATTCTTTGCTTGGCCGACCGCTCAAACATCAGTGTGCTGTATGATGCTGTTGAATTCAATTTTGGCATACTCTACCTATAACCAATTGTTTAGGTGCATACACTGTTGAAGGATATGTATCTTTCTTTTAATATTGTCGGAATAATGTCCCAAGAGCAAAATGTGAGCAGAGAAATGAAATAAGTGGGTGGTTTTTTTTCTGACCGACGGATATATAGCCAGACCTAACAGCGAACAAATTTCATGTTTTACATACAGGATAATGTCCCATGTATTCATTTAAACTATCCTTAAGTATATCGTAATCATTTACGTTGCATCTAAACACTGTCTTCCCAAATCGTAAAACGTTGCCCTTTCGAAACACTGTTCATTTCCTATTTTTCTACCCTCTCTTTCTTTACTAATCTATTTTTTCGTCGTTGCTGTCTCCTAACATGGTAATAGCAATTAGATTTGTTCCCAGCCCAAGGCAGATCAAAGTCCCTAAAATGGAATCTGTTATTCCCTCCGAAAAGGTTCAGCATTTAGGATAATCTTGTTGAGGACGCACTACAAAGTCGGAATCATATCCGCGCTATCGCAAGGTGGCGATACATCAACAGACCCTGCCTCCAGCACACACGCACACAGCAGGCTTTAATTACACACGATGAGGCATGGCATTAACTGACCTTAGCTCTTGATAGGACGTTAAGGAAAATAAACCAAACTAAATACCGGACATGCAGTTAATATAATTATATATTGTAATTTAAAGGAATTCAGTAAAACATGTTTAATCTATATCAATTTGTGTTAATTACCTTCATCGTAGCAGAAAACATAAGCATGACCAGACCTATAGTAAGCATTACAGTTCTCCACACCCCATCCGTCAAACGGGCAATCTGAAAGGCTGGTCTCCATGCCGGAACACTTTACGTTATCCATCCATATTAGATCTGGGTCTGTCTCGTTGCCAAACCATTCATACCAAGCCGAGTCCAGTGTATAATGTCGACTTGTTATTGTTCCGTTGCTGTAAATAAATTTAATATTGTAAGTTTGTTAGCCGATTGCTGACCTGACAACAATAAGATGGGACTATTACAAAAGATAATACACCAACAAAACTTTGAAAGGTAGAATGTTAACAAATGTCTACATAAGTTTATAGCAAAATGATGAAATTTCCTAAACCAATATAATAAAATTAAAAATAGTATTGTATAGACCAATTTCACGCAGATGTACAAATTTCGAATGACGAATTAGTTATATGACAGAATTTTTTCATATCAGGCACATCATAATATTTGTCTTGAATCTCTCCTAAATTGGTACATTTGATCAATATGCGGGACAGTCATTTGTTCGTCGTATGATTGAATCATGTACAGTTTATGGTGTGTATGCAATACATAGTAAGCCAGGCATTTATGAATATAATTGCAATAGATGCAGGTATATGAACGTTAGTTTCATATTTTTGTGATACGTGTCTGAATAATACTTGATCATACTGCAAATAGACGAAATATGCTGGAATCAATACCCATCATAGATGGAAAGATCTTAAAGTGCCTTATTAAAATTGCAAATTTCACTACCCTCGGGTCACCCATTCCCCTCTGGGGAGGGGATAAACATTACTTTAGTTTTGATAGAGAAATAACACTTTTGAGTATATTTTGTTTATTTTTATAGGATTTAATTCAAACTTCGTTGGAATTATCGTCATATATTTGTAGTTAGATGGTATAAAATTTAAACCTCAAACGTTCAACAGTCTTTTCTCCAGACCCAGATTTGCTGAGATCGAAGGATTTTTAATGATGTAAGGTCCTATGGTGCTTTATCAGAATTGTGAATTTTGTTACCCCAAGATCACCTATCCCCCTGGCGGAACCGTCGAACACTCATCGTCCAGTATGCAAATCAACCATGCACAGATTTTGTGCAACTTCAGACTTTGTCGTGGTCTTTGGGTTTTCTACTACATGGTTACAAACTACCCTCACCGTAGAGTATTTCAGCATGCTATCTAACGGAAACCAAAATCTGGTCAGACGGACGAACGATTCCCTCATTAAAATAGTCCTCGTTTAAAATATTGACGGGTGTATAAAAACAAACAAAAAATGTCCCTCCATTTCCGTACGTTTTGCACTTGACAATCTCCTTGGCATGTGTGAGTATTGCATCCTTGTAAATTTTCCTCCGTGTCATTTCATTTGATATAAGTATATGTTTTTCATTAAGACTATACATATAGATAGGCTAAGATAAGTATTACATTATTTCAGTGTCACATACGCAGTATACAGATAATGTACTACGCCAGAAAACAATACCTAATGCCCCGCCTATATAAAACAGTAACGAGAAACTTTACTCAAAACATGTACATTTTTATACCGTAAAGTACATAGTAATATATGACATATGGTGATACATACCTAAACCCAAGCATTCTGCAGGCAACGTTGGCATCATTATAATTCCAAAAGTAGTCGCATACTCCGCCCCACTGTCCGTCATGGTACACTCCCACCCGGCCACTGTTGTTGTACAAACCGTTTTCTAGGCGGATTGCAAACGGCGAGTCTGTCCTCGTCGTTATATCAGTCGGAATGGGCGTAGCTGGTGACATAAATGTTGTCAAAATAATACACCATTTTAAAACCAACACTTATCATTTCGTCTTCGTCAATAATCATATTTGTCCGGCTCTGCAAAGTTCTTCACATGTTTGTTTCAGGTTTTAAATCATAACAAATGCAGTAGTCATGTGAAGACGTTTTACTAGTATGATAGAGCCAGTTTAACTCAAGCTCACTGAAAAGTTAAGCTGAAAGTCGTGCAGAGAGCTGCATGTAACTTATAATGTCAAACACTTTAATTTTCTTGGTCAGGGGACAGAAATCATAGCCTTCCTCGCTCAGGTGAACGCTCCTACAAAAAGTGGCATAAGGCAAGAGATTGGTTTATTGCGTTTAGAGTTATTTTAACAGTTAATGTCAATATATGACGTATCTTCGAGCTCGTTACTAATGACTGCATGCCGGAACTGTTATATTTGAGTGTCAACTTTTTATTTTAGTCACCCCTAGTGGGAACCCCAGCGGGGACTATTAATTTTGGTTTCAGTCCCAGATTTTGACCTCTGTTGCCGACCACAGTTTTCGGCTTTCGTGTGTTTGCTTCTGTCGCTAATTACAAGCTTTTGGATAACTCAGATATCGATTTAGGAAAATATCTAACATGCAACCAAAAGGCGTGCCGAATTTCAAACTGAAGATGTTCCGAATATGAATCAGTCACCATTGAGGTTCCCGACGGGGTAAACTGTTATATTATATATTGCTATTGATTGATTGAGATTTTTATGTCTGACCAACGACTATATTGGTAAAATTTCTTTTTAAAACCAATATTTAAAAAAAAAAAGAAAAAGGGCAAACTTGATTTGACATGCCGGGTTTGTGCTTGCCGCCGGCACCCTACATTCAAGCATTCGCGCAATTTTGCGGACACAAATAAGATTTTGTATCGCTTTGCATTTCTCTGCAGTCCGGCGAAACTTCTAATCGAACGACAGGTGCCGAACATGCGGGTCTTAAGGGACAAACGTAATCAGTAAGTAGGTGCCGCCTTCCCGGCGGTAACCGGCACGCCTAAATCAAGTTCGTCCAAAGTAAAAAGTTTACGACATTTATGGAAATTGTTTTTTTTTTTTAATTCACATACCATTTTCAGCAGTCACATTATAATTTCAAAGGGTGATATGTTATAAATGAATGCGCCGTCATTCTAACAAATATTTCATCAACATTCATATCCCGCATGACAACGTTTACAACTTTGGAACACTTTACGACATAACACGGCAGAAGTTGAAATGGAAAACCGGAGGAGTGCAGGGTCATGTAAGGTAAGTAGTTCATTGCCATATTCAGAATTTATAATAAAAGCGCTCGACACCGTTTAGTGAAAGTTATCGTTTCTGCGGTGTGGTGGCAGGGGTGACCACGGGGTACCGACAAAACAATACCATGTTTTGCCGGTACAGTTCCACGCGGTCACCATGTGGCGATACTGTACCGGCAAAACACGGCATTGCCATATTTATGTATATCGCTATTGCCAATACTATTCCTGTCAGTGTCCTGTCAGAGCGTAAGGACAAATGTGTTTAACAGCACTTTTGTACATGTATATATTTCTTTTCTATGAAATCAACCAACAAAGATCAAGTATAATTTAGGGATGTAAACAAAGTTGAGGGTATTGTGGTATTTGCAGCTCTTTCTGCAAATCATGGCTCCTTTCATAATATTTCCTTAGGTCACTGATCATTCTATCGGTAACATAAAACATTTCTCTTGAGTTTCTCCACTTCCCCTTGCAGGTTGAAGGTATCGTATGTGTAACAATACAGGTTGAGCATAGGGACTTGTGTTATCTAGAAATACGTATACATGTATATATAGGTATTTCTAGCTAATTTTATCATATAAGTCTATACAAGCCCCTGTGGGTTGAGGTTACCAGAATATATTGCAATACAGAAGGAAAATATTGCGATAGTGTCGCAATATAATTTCACAGGAAAAAATGGTATTGTTTTTGATAATTGGGCTCAATGGGTGTCAAAATACTGTCATTAAATCTGAGATCATTTGTGTGATACATTTGTATTAAATTGTATCCTAGTACATGTAATAGCCTGTATTATGGTAATTAGCATATCTATTTGACTGTTAGAACATGTTGCGATTCAGCAATATTTTATTATCGGCTTCGCATTGTGATAGATACTGTACATGTACGAAATGGTCTGTGTATTGCGATATACTGGTTTTCCGATACATTGTTATACCCCTATAGTCTATACATGCTTATTAAACCATGATCACACTAAATATCCCAATTAAGCATTGTGAGATAGCTGATATCTTATCATTTCCAGAAAACACAAACAAAAATGGAAGGAAGTACTTCAACAGCTACAGCAATACACTGTAAGTTATAACAATTAGTTGGTTTAATTTCTAAACTTCATGTCAGTGGACTCAGGTATGGATTCATTTTGAACAAGATAAAAAGTGTATTAAGCAAAACTGTATATTTATGCGTGTTTTTTAATCGGTGATTAATTCTCATGTTTTCTGGACGAACCTCCGGTAATTTTTGTGTCAGTTTACAGACGATGGCCAAACGTCTAAAATATCTTTGTGTTGTGTCCAGCAGGTCACGTAGTAACGAGTTATAGCTTGATAAAATGGCTGCGCGGAAATATTTAACGCGCTGAAACCAATGACTAGACGATATTGACAGTTTTACCAACAAATTATTTTTTACTGATAATTGTCAACTGATAATATTGAGTTAAATAACCACCAATACAATACCAGTACAAACTAGTGATAGGGATTGGAAACTCCTTAATTATCAGCCTTTAGTTTTGGTGAAAATGATTTGCTCCAATATGCATGTTCAGTTCTCTTATATCATTTGTTTTCATTTTAACAGATGAAATATCTCATCCTAGCACTTTGGAATGTTTGAATGTGGAAGGCCTTGAAATTGGGATGCAGAAGACCAGGGAATGTCACAGAAATAAAAAAATAAAATAAAAAAATATTTGTAGTGTTTGTGTTTTATGGTCATAAAACATGGAATATTTTCTTCAAGTAAATCAACCACATGCTTTCTTATTATATCCTAGTAGGTTGGCATGGCTACCTAAACAGCGTGTATGCATGCCTGGTCATTGTTAGACCATTTTGATTGACAGGTGGAAATATGTCAGTTGTAGCTTGGTCAATGATTTATTATACTGAAAATAATCATACAGGAGACGGGGTGACTTTCATGTCATTTTGACATATTTCTAGTTAACACATTAGAATACCACGCCGAAGACAATCGGTCCCATTATACTGACGACGGAACCCATACAGGTTCGGGAGGGGGGATAGGCCTGCCGAAATAGACGACTAATGTGGCCCCCCTATAGAATCAATGGGGTTTCTACATTGTCTTCTATTCAAGGGACATTAAATAAACCAAGACCAGACCTGTTGTATCCCACTGCATGTTTACCGTAAAGGGCGACTAATGTGGGCGCGAGCTACATTGCATTACTTGATGACTTCTTCGTTTCCTATTGTTTCTGTCCTATCTAGTTTCTCTTCCCGGTGATTTCTCCCACTTGGCCCCTGTTCTTATACGACCTTGGTTGTTGCGAGGATGTTAAACCCCAATGATACTAATTCTTCCTTTAACATGTTGGTCTGATCAAAATGATATAACTAACCATAGCAACTCTTACTTGCATTTTCGATTTGTCTTGGTAAGGGGGGAAATACTACTATCAACTTGGGCGAACGCGTGGTGTTGACATGTAATGAAAGGAAAAGGTGAATAGAGTCAAACGCTTCAATAGATCTTGATTTATTTTGAGTACATTAGAGGGCAAAAAGGAGAATTCCAAGGTTATTTAGCGGGGGCGTTATGCTGACGGGTCCATGTTATGTTATTCAGTGAGATGGCAAAGAGTTTCAACACCGTGCTCATATGACCTTAACTCTTGTGAAGAATCAAACCTCTAAACATAACATAGAACATATGGAAATGATAGATTATTACAATGTTATATACCGATATTTCCGTCAACAAAATAATGTGAGTTACAGTACATATACACAAATTAAAAATTACCTAGAGCTCCCGAACAGGAAACACCTGCTCTGCCATCCGCGTAATTATTGCAGTATCCATGGACGTCGCTAAATATACAGTTGTAAATACTTGTCTCTGATCCAACACAGTTGACATGGATCTTCACTTTCATGCCTTCTCTGGATTCCCACATGTAAGACGTATACAATTGTGCAGTTCCGTTTCTGGAAAGCAATAAACTTGCATTTTAAGGATATAAAACACTTGATGAACAAATGCTTGACTGTTAAAGATTGATTACAAGTATGATGGCTGATCTTGGTTTTGTAGCATATAAGCGTTCGTAATATAGGTACAGTATAACCTGTCTAAACCGGATGTCACAGGGACCAAATTATTTGTCCGGTTTACACAGGTGTCCGATTTAATTTGTAGCCGGCCGACAGAAATGGCAGAACCGGAATGAACAATTTGTTTTTACATGGATTACTATGCCAACATTTGTGAAACAACGCAGGTTTTCGGAATGGACAGGGTCCAATTTATACAAGGTTTAACCATTTTGATTATATGGGGAATACGCTGGGACCACACACCACAGCTGGTTAAGACAGGGATCCGGATTAGATAGGGATCCGGATTAGACAGGGACTAGTTTATACAGGTTATACCGTAGTATACATACGCAGCCATGCACGAGAGGATATATGCTGTACTTTAGTAAACGTCCTTATACATACAATCTAGCTAAGAGCTCTATATACATGCCTCCATGTGTGTAATGTATGCGTGTTTGTTTTTATGAGTGCTAGAGGCATGGGGTGTTGATGTTTTTGGTTCCTTGCAACAGTGCATATCTGTCCTTAAAAGCTGTTAAAACGTCATGGGAATCTAGGTTTTTAATATAAATCAGATGCACCAACTGGCCTGTATTGGTGATGTTCTTCTTTTGGGGGGTTTGTTTCGGTTTAAGTTGTATTCATCATTAAAGAATATCATCATAAATATGCTACTAATGTATGTGCTTCATACCCGTATCCAAGCATTCGACAGACGATTCCAGCTTCAATATCATCCCAGTTCTTCCCACACACTATAGACCACTGTCCACCGTACATAATTTCTACAGAGCCGGAGGTGTTGGACACATCATTCATGAGTCGGACCCCTTGTTGCTCGTCACTAGCTAAAATCATGATGGAGGAAAATCTAGTCAACATCTACTAAGTTCAAAACTGTTGTGTCCTTAGCACTGCAATTGACGTTTATTAAGTACCTCTTCGTCAGTGTCACAATTGTCGATTTTGTTACCCGATATATGTTTGATACGAATTATGTTAACGAAACAATAAATGTAGTAAATCGCTTTTATCATTTCAACAATGTTTTTCATTGAATAAGAAACTCACCCTGAAAATCATTATAACAGAGGGCAGTCGCTATACTCATATATGATGATATCTGTCCCCATCCACCAAAAGGGCAGTCTGCGATGTTTGTCTCTGTACCATTACACTGTAGCCGATCCATCCATATTGGTAGTTTAGTGGAATAGAAAAATGAATCCCCATAGGAAACACCATTGCTGAAAAATATCAAACAATTAATGTTAGTATGGATTTACAGTTTATGTAAAACCTGTATAACAAATCTTGTCCATTTACGGTTAACTATATCTTTCTTATTTCTTTCATGCTTCGAAACATGTGTGTGTAATTGATTGATCACCTCAGATCAATATGGGTATTGCAAGTGGCCCCTGAAAAACAATTCATGAAATATAACTTTCCCAAACCTGACCGTAGCTGTTAATAAGTCGTTAAAACTTATACAATAAAACCAATTCACACATACAGATGCATATACATTATGAATACAGCGTAACTTTAATATACCTGTATCCAAGCATTCTACATACGACCTCAGCCTCCCTGTCGTAAAAGCCGGCATAACATACACTTCCCCAAATGCTGCTGTAATGAACTTCAACATGTCCAGTTCCATTAGATGTGCCATCCACTAAACGAACTTTTACCTCGGTGTCATCTGAATGTGAATCATATTGTATTTATTGCACATTTCTACAGTATCCTTTACTTTTTTGACTGAACACGGAAACTTGATATTGCCTGTCTGATAATTATCGGATGCATGTATATTGCAACGAATCGTTTTTCAGAACTTGCAAGGATAAACAATATCTTGATCAGATCTGAAACCGATGATGTTTTACCTTCTTATTATTATCTTGTCAAATGTTGAAAATCCTAAACGGGCATCTTGTACATTAACGTAAGCCTCTTAATGTCATATTTTATTTCCCACTATGAAAAAATATTATTGCATAAGAGTTTGAAAAATAGTATGCAAAATGTTAAAAATTGTAATTCATGCACAATCAAAGATAGCCACCTGTCAGCCATTTGGTTTTTCCAATCATTCTAAAAAGAAAACATGTTAAACTCAGGACTATGGGGAGCCTACCTATAAAGTTTGAGAAAGTTCCCAGTGTTACTTTCTGAGCAATAGCAACAGCAATTCTTAACATTGAAGTCCCTGCATGTAAGGAGTAAGAATTGTACTTGCTGCTCCCATTGCATGATCGTAAGAGGCGACTTAAATTTGAGATCTTATCTTTTCTCTTCTTTCTAAACAACTTTCTTCTTCCATGTGTCTCCCTTGACAATGCCTCACTTTTGGCCTTAAGTTGAGCGTTCACCCCAATGAGGAAGGCTGTGGGTTCTGTCCCCTGGTCGAGTCAGTAGTTTCTGAGAAATGCCTATACAAACCTTAGCGGTCAAATTCACCGATTGTCTCGGGTCAGCCATGTTGTTTTTCCCGTAAGTCTCAGAAGGAAACACACGCAAGCGACCAGCAAGAACTTGCATGTAAAATTTGAGAAAGATCTTGTCATTAATTTCTGAGAAATAGTGATAGCAAACCTTAGTTTTCGTAATCCAAAATTGCCGCTTTCGGCGTACCACGGAAAACCTTAATATTAATTTTTAAAGAATGATTTGTCCTGTACTGTCTGAAAAATTGCGAAAATAAAATTGTTAAGGATGTAGTGCGGTGAGCTTTTCTTGTCTGAAATCGGCACGGTCTACGGGAGGTAACTCCTACTGCAATTTTGACAAGACGTAAAGAAACATTCGGTAACATATGAAGATAGTATCAACATTTTTTCCTCAGCCGTTATGAATAAGGCCCAAAAAAAGGAATTAATAAGTAAATGTGTTAAATGAATAACTACAAAAATATCAAATAGGTTGAAGTGTTTAATGACGAAGTCAACCTCATTTTCGGCGCCATTGTTGACGAATTGACAGATTATGGGTGGCCGTTTTAGGATAAAATACATAAACTACTAAAGTGCAAAAACTTATCATGGACATAATGGCAAAAACGTTTTCACTTAAGTGCAAATCTTTTGCACTTAAAAAGCACATAACGCAAAGTACCTTTTTTGTCATTATGTAGTAATCTTTTTACAATATGTACCTTCGCACTTAAGTACACAATATGTCCTCTTATCCCTCTTGTCACAATGGATGGTTCCGTTTACCGATGTATTGTGCATGCCCCAGAGGTCGAAATGGCGGCGGAGGTTGAGGTGATTTCGGTAGGCTTAATTAGAATGTTACAGCGACTATCATTGGAATTGGCATGTAGGAAAATTTGGACAGACGTTAAAAGGCAAACATGTTGCGTGGATTCACGACAGAAATGCAATGGTTGGCCGCGTATTAATTGGCAAACTACACAAAATCCCCGGAGCCACGCTGACGGCGTAGCCTGAATCCTGCGTCATACTACGGACTTAGATACGAAGGTAAATGATATGTCACTTTAGCGGGGTAAAAACAACAATATTGGTTACTAAAATCAAGACAACTTGTGTCGAAATGATAATTAGACGTAAACCCATATGCCTACCACAGACCTTAAAACGGTAAATGAATGAGAGGTTAGCCTAACAAATGAAGTTTAGAGTCCTAGAGTAACAAACAAGTAAAAACCCTCCTTAAGTTAAGGCTTACATGTAACTAACATTATGCTACTAGTTATTTCGTTTCATATATAGAGAGAGTGAGTGATATTAAATTTCATTTATATGATATTTAAATACCTAAATCTCTATTTAGATTACAAAATCAGCAAATAAAGGTGTTCTTTTTAAAACATTATTTTAAAAAAGTAAAATAATTAAATATGGAGAACATGAACATAACCTGATAGTTTTGTGACTGTAGTTTTAAAAAATCTAGAAGAGTATTAAAACAAATCGCACATGCACTTCCTTTTTAAAATTAAATATTTGTATATTATCATTGCATGCATGTTCTTTTCTGGAGGGGGGGGGGGGGGGGGGGGTATGTCGCCTAAATAAAAATACTAGCCGCATCCTACAGACTCGCCAAGAGAGAGTCTCGACTCCTGGCCGAGGCATCACAGGGGCTCGGTTTCAGGATAAAAAGTGTTGTGTTATATTCGGTGTTTATACACATTCTAAAACGTTATAAAAACTCGTTTTTAAAAAGGTTTTAGAATGTTGCTGTTATTTACTAGTGTGTATAGGTTTGTCCCGAAATGTATAGGTTTGTTATTAACCGAAAGTATCCCGAAACCGTTATGTTTTTCTTTCCATACAGTCATTATCTATTTAACATCGAAATGTACTGTTCATTTTTTGCCTTCGAATGAACATTTATAATGATCTGATTTCTGTTTTATATAGGTGAAGGGCTTGTTTACCCATGACTTCATGGATGGGCAATCTTCAATGGTTATCTTTTCCTAGTGTGGTATTGACAGGTCATTGTTTGTTTTGGACATCTTTTCTGCCTCTTTGAAACTTCAGTTGCTATCAGGAGTCAACAACTAGACAATGGATCAGTTATTGTTACATTGCAGATCTACTGATGAAGGTTTGAGACAGCTTGTATAGGCCACTATGGAGAACATGAAGATCTAGATCAATGCAACTACTTGTGCCATTGTACCTTGCTGTGTTAATTCCATAGGTGAATTGTCAGCTGAATGACTTTCGTCATGTAACGGACCTGTGCAAAATCCAGGTGGACTCCGGAGCAGCAATGAATGTTTGAGCTGACTGGTTTAGGATATATGGCATTACAAAGAGAGACATAAACGCACATTTTCTTGATAAAATGGATGAATACTGTGTGTTGGGCGCTATTTGGTTGAAAATTGGTCATTTTGAAGGAAATTAACTAAACGCTCTTCATTTTTTGACAGCCTCCGTATGTTTAAACATTGTTATACCAGTGTTCATTCTTAAAAAGGATTTTTTGCTTGTCACATACTGAGGCTTCATGTCTGCATGTTAACTGTCCAAAAACACCATATTTTGGATATTAACGCAACTCGTTAAGTAGTGAAAAACTTTTAACACTTTAGTTAAAAAAAGACTTTTGTGCAATTAAGTGCAAAAAATCTTCACATAATGGCAAAACACATTTTTGTCATTAAGTAGTGAAAAAACATCGTATTAACACTTAAGTGCAAAAAATGGCATTTTTCCACTTAAGTGACAAAAAAGTCGTTTCTACACTTAAGTGAAAAAAAGTTGTTTTTACACTTAAGTGAAAAGAAAGTCGTTTTTCCACATAAGTGAAAAAAAGTCGTTTTTACACTTAATTGAAAAATAGTCGATTTTACACTAAAGTGAAACAAAAACGTTTTTACACTTAAGTGCAAAAAAAGTCGTTTTTACACTTAAGTGCCAAAAAAAGTCGTGTTTACACTTGAGTGCAAAAAAAGTCGTATTTATACTGCAAACAATCTTTACATAAAGGCAAAAACTAATTCGGAACACTGCCTTATTTAGTAACAATAATATATGTAGTATATGATTACATTTTTTTAAATTTATATTTGTATTCAGTGTTTCAAAGCACATACACATGGCAATATTTGGGAGACTGTAACATACTTCACAGTACACTCATCCTAAACATTCCATACACATTTCATGGTAACTATACTTATTTCATATACCAAGTAATCTAAGTATTGGGTATGTAGAGAATATTAATCTTACTGATTGTGTGTACCATCATAACAGAGCATATTAATTTATGACATATTAATTTCAAACATTTCATAAATAATCATACACACCATAGATATGTATAGAACATTTCATACACACCATACATCCTTATAGAAACATTCACATCAAACATTTCATACACACCATACAACTGTATCGAACATTCGTAATTAAGGATTTCATATACACCATACATCTGTATAGAACATTCATAATTTAACATTTCATATACACCAGTTCTGTACAAAATATTCATCTCTATACATGATGTACATTTAACGAAATGTATACCAGTATATACATGTATATGAATAGCTCTAACACTATCATTCAATATATTCTACACAAGCAAATACCTTAGTATGATAGTATATATAACCAAGATGTCATTTCAAAACATTGGATTAAAAACTAATTATATTAGTCATGTGTTGTGGTTTTATTGAAAGAAAGACGGATAATTACTGGCAAACACAGACAGACAATACAAAGGTAGACATGTGCACAGAGGCTAACACAGACAAGACACAGGCAAGAACTACCAGATAGACAGACAGACACAGGCAGACATATACGCACAAAGACAATCGACACAGAGACAAGGGCCGACAGATTAAAGAGAGACGAGCCTTCTAAAAATCAAAAAGTTGAAAATAAATAATCGACATTTGTTTTATTGAAAACATTTACTCGAAGATAGTAATATCTAATTAAAACAAGTATAAAAGGTTCATATAAACCAACTGGCAGAGTTAAAGAGTCCATTAATAGATATAAATAGGTATAGATATAGAAATCTTTTCAATTTAAGTCTAAAGATGTAAAAAAAAATCCATTTTCCCCACTCTTTGTTAAAACTTTCAAGAGAAGCATCACTTTTAGCGGTTGCTATGTATTTTTTGACATAGTGATGGTCTTTCAATAAGTTGATAAGAGAATTTATGTTTAGTGTGGTTATAAGACATCTAGT